CACCTCTTCTCACCCATGAATAAACAGTTCTCACCCCCAAAACCAGCCATTCTCACCCCAAAACAAACACCACTTCTCACCCTCAAAAACACCCATCCTCACCCCAAAACAAACACCTCTTCACACCCATGAATAAACAGCCGTTCTCACCCCCAAAAACACCTATTCTCACCCCAAAACAAATACCACTTCACACCCATGAATAAACAGCCGTTATCACCCCCAAAAACACCTATTCTCGCCCCAAAACAAACACCACTTCACACCCATGAATAAACAGCCATTCTCACCCCCAAAGACAGCCATTCTCACCCCAAAATGAACACCCGTTCTCACCCCAAAACAAACACCACTTCTCACCCATGAATAAACACCACTTCTCACCCCCAAAAACACCCATTCTCACCCCAAAACAAACACCAGTTCTTACCCCCAAAATCACCTGTTCTCACCCCAAAACCCACCTGTTTTCATCCCAAAACCAAACACCCATTCCAAACCCAAAACCCACCTGTTCTTACCCCCAACACACCTTTCTCACCCCAAAATAAATAGCCATTTTCACCACCAAAACAACCATTCTCACCTCAAAAACTCCTGTTCCCACCCCAAAATACACCTGTTCTCACTCCATAACATGGTGGCTCCACTGCCTCCTAACCCCTCAGCTGAGCTCAGAGCCAAACTACAGCTCCTCAGGCCCATCCAGAGGGAAAGAACAGCTCCACACTGGGCTGGAGGTTTATGTACTGCAGAAATTTACTTTAGCAAAATTGGGTTAAAAGGAGAGAAAAAAAAATCTTGTTTTTTCAGGGCAAATCCTATTCCTTGTTGTATATTGAGAGAATCAAGAAAAAGCCCTTTGTGTTGCAGGTTACAGGGATGCCAGAGGGTGTTTCTCTAGGATTATTCCAGCTGGAGTCTGTGTTGATGCTCCACATCCCTCAGGGAGCAGAGCTGCGACAACAAAGAGTTAAAAAAATTCCTGGGAGATCTGTAAAATTTCTTTGTGGGGAGCAAGAGACAAGACAAAGTAAAAACTCAGAGCCCTGTGAAGTGCAGAACTCCGGGATTGGCAGTTCCTGACAGCTGGCGCAGTTCAACCACTCATTCCAGCCTCATTCCGGAGCTCCCAGGCCTGGATGGGTTTTCCTCGTGTACAACATTCCTTGTGCTGATTCCTACTCCATCACGAGGTGTTTCCTGCGCCGGCGCCTCCGTCTCCGGGCGGATTTGGCCTCCTGGGATGGGCAGGGAGGAGTCTGAGAGGGGAAGCACAGTCTGTGGCGCTGCTGCTCGTTAGCAGGCGCTGAAATCCAAGGATTCCTGGATGCCAATCCGCAGGGATTTCGCTGCTCAGGGGCCCTGTGTCCCTGCCCCAGCTCCAGGGGCTGTGTCTGAGCCTTGGAGCCAGGCTGGAGCTGTTTCTTCTTCTTCTTGGCACTGGCAGCATTCCTGGAAGGAAGTTCAAAGTCAGCACTAGAAGTCACAGCTCCACTCAAACCACAGAAGAATCACAGTATGTTAAGGGGTTGGAATGAAGCTTAGAGATGATCCAGCCCCAACCCCTGCCCTGGCCCAGGACACCTCCCACTGGAGCAGGCTGCTCAAGGCTTTATCCAACCTGGAATGAACACTGCCAGGGTTGGGGCAGCTACAGCCTCCCTGGGCAACCTGTGCCAGTGTCTCACCACCCTCACAGCAAAGAATTTCTTCCCAAGATCTGATCTTCCCTCTTTCAGTTTCTCCCCTCGTTCTGTCACTCCAGTTCCCAACAGAGTCCCTCTCCAGCTTCCCTAGAGCCCCTGCAGATCCTGGAAGGTTTCTCTGAGGTCTCCACACAACCTTTTCTTCTCCAGGTTGAACTCTCTTGGCCTGTCCTCATAGGAAAGGTGTTCCAGTCCTCTGATCAGCTTCATGGCCTCCTCACAACTTGCTCCAACAGTTCCATGTCCTTCTGATGTTGAGGACACCAGAGGGATTCCAGGTAGGACCTCACCAGAGCAGAGTACAGGGGGAGAATCACCTCCTTTGACCTGCTGCCCACACTCCTCTGGCTGCAGCCCAGGACATGGTTGGTTTCTGGGTTACAAGTAGTTCATGTTAAATTTCCAGGTCCTTCTCCCAGGGCTGCTCTCAATCCCTTCACAGGCCACCACCTCTAGGTGAGTCTGGGATTGAAATATCTCAGCTGAACAGTCCAGCCCCACTGGGAATCATCTCCAACACAACATTTGTCAGTTATGTTATTCCACATCTGCAGGCACAAGACTCATCCAAAGGCTAAGCTGTGCTGCTGTGGGCACAAGAACACTCCACTCTTGATATTTAGGCTCTGGACAAGCTTCAGGGAGGTTTTCCCCCTGCCAGAGCAAGGCAATGGGTGAGTCTTGGGTGAGTTATGGCTTGTAAAAATCCAGTTTAAGTGGTTTAAACACAAGGAACAGGTCTTTTTGTCATGCCTGCTCAGCTCAGGGCACACAGAGAGGTAAGATACCTACCTGGGCACTGCCAAGGGGGTCTGTGTCGAGCGATGTGGGTGGTGTTTGGCCACCACCTGCTTCTTGGGGGTTGCTGTGGCAGTGGATTTTCCTCTGACGGGGCCTGAGCTCAAACTCTTCAGTCCACAGCTCCTTCAAAAGATTTTTGTAGGTTTTGACTGTGTTGACAGAGCATTCACATCAGCTCTCTCACACTCAAACCTACCCCCCATGCCTTGCATCACTGCTCACCTGGAAAAGGAAGAGCCACAACAGGTCCTGGAATGACCTGGGTTGGATTGGGAGGACCTTGAGCCCATCCAGTCTCACCCCCTGCCATGGGCAGGGATACCTTCCACTAGCCCAGGTTGCTCCAAGCCCCGTCCAACCTGGCCTGGAACATTCCCAGGGATGGAGCAGCCACAGCTTCCCTGGACAACCTGTGCCAGTGCCTCAGCACCTCACAGGGAAGAATTCCTCCTCAATATCCCACCTAACCCTGCCCTCTGGCAGTGGGAAGCCCTTGTCCTGGCCTGTTCTACCTCCCTTCCCAGGAGCCACTCAGGTTTATCACTTGTTCCTTGCCAGCAGCAATCCCTGGGCAGGAGCTCTCACTCCTGGACACACAGACTTACATTTTCACAGGTAGAGACCTTAGATCCTGGATGTAGTTGGTTCTCTCTATGGGATGCCCTCGACATTTGTTGAACACTGGAGAGAGAGAGATAGGTGTGAGGCAGAACAAGACAAGTCACCTTTGGGGCTGCAGAGCAATTAAAACCCTTTAGAAGGATTTTTAACCCCTTCAACCAAACTTCCACACTCAGATCACACAGGGTGTGCCACTCAGCCCTCCCCAGGACACCAGTGACAAGGCAGATCTGCCTCAGTGCCCCATGTCCACACAGCTCTGAGCAGCTCCAGGCAGGACATACACTTAATTCCTTCTTTCCAATCACCCAAAGAGCCTCCAGCACCTCTTCCCTTCCAGCTCCTATTCCACATGGCAGGAAAACACACAGAGCTGCACAGAGTTAACTCCCTGGAGCTATCCCAAACCTTCTCTCCATCCCAAAGCAGAACACATACGTACACTCTATTGCAGCATTTGGCTCCATGCCTTCCACATCAATCAGGTACCTGAATAGAGCAGCAAGAAAACTCTAATTACACTAATTAACTATGAAAACGTTGACGGTTCAACTAAGAAAAAAAAAGCCTAGGAGGTTTTTAGTTTTTTTCACATTTCACAAGGAGTACTGTTTAAGGAGAGACTGGATGTGGCACTTAGTGTCATGGTGGTGTTAGGTCATGGGTTGGACCGGATGATCTCAGAGGTCTTTTCCAACCTGATTGATTCTGAGTGCTGGAATTTGGGATAAAAAATGCCTCTTAACAAAAGCTGAAAATCCTTGCAAATCTGGGATCACACAGATCACTTGACTCTTGTTTTACTGGTGCAACACCAGTTCCTTCTGGCAATGCCACCACTTAACCCCCTTGGACTCAGGACAACTCACCTACAAACCAGGTAGCCAGTTCTGTTCAGGCCATGTGTGCAATGAACCCCGATAAGTTTATCTGTAACACACACCACCAGGGGATATTTCAGTGCTCTTCCTCCACAATCCCCTGGAACAAACACCTTCCCTCACCCTCCACCAGTGACACCAAAGAAATCAACAGACATGACCACACAACATCACCATATCGATGTCTAATTAGCACCACTGATTCAGCTCATTAGCTCTGGGAGCTCATCTGCATGGTCTCATGGCTTAGACTCAATTAAAGCTCGACTCACTGCCAAATGATCCCAGAATCATGGCATAGTTTGGGTTGGATGGACCTTGAAGCCCTTCCAGCTCCACTCCCTGCCATGGAGCCTCCCACCAGCCCAAGTGGCTCTAAACCTCATCCAACCTGACCTTGATTATCACAGCCATGAATTCACAACAAACCAAATCTATTGCCTTGGCATTCACATGCCAAGAGAAGGACAAACAATCCCTGCTGTACACTGAAACATCCCTGGCCCTTCCCAGCAGCAGCACATCAGAGAGATCCACACTCACCATTGTCTTTGTTGTTATTCAGAAACTGCTTGACCACACATTTGAACTGAAAAATGGTCTGTTTGTTGGGAATTTCGTGTCCCATCGTCCAGATCTTGGAGTAGCAGAGTGTGGCTGGGAGCTCCTGCAACAGACAAAGGGACCACAGGTTGAGGTAAGAAAATCTCTGCTTCGCTCCCCTGACACAGCACCAATATTCCAGGTTATTTCTCCTCACTGGCGAAGACAAAGCACATGGAGAATCTGGAACACCATTCCATGCACTTATCCACACAGCCAAACTGGCTGCAATCAGCTCTTCCCTCGGGAAGGCCCATGAAAAGCAGCTTCAGGGTATCACCAAACCTTGTGCTGTTGCTACAAGACCTGGGGGTTGAAGACCTCAAGTCTGTACATGATCAAGGACCAAGACTCCATCCCCATGGGCCTGCAATGCTCCACCTCACTCCCTGCCAGAGCATTCCAGTACCTCACACTCCTCCAAGTTATCTTTTTGCAAGAAAATCCTCCCCTCCAGCAGCAGTGTCAGGGCCCACAGAGCTGCCCCTGCCCAGCAGGGAGGCCCAGACTGACCTCTGGCCTGTAGTAGCGCGTGGTGTAGGTCAGGTCGATGATCAGCCCCAGCTCTTCCTTCCTCTCTCTGATCTTCCTGATGAGGTCACGAGGGGAAAATCTCTCCTCTGGAGAAAGATTCTGATCAAAACTCTGAGGGGAAATAATGTTTAAGAGCAGACATTAAGCTCAGGGTGGGAAGAGGTTCGTGTTGTGGAATGCCCTGGAGTGCAGGGAAAAAGACTCAGGAGCAAAGGCTGATGCAGACAGACACATAAGTTACACTCAGGCCAATCACAGGATCATGGAACGGTTTGGAAGGGACCTAAAAGCTCATCTGATTCCATCCTATGCACTGGGCAGGGCTCAGGCCTTGCTGCTTTGGGATTGCTATAGTGTGGTACAACATCAGAGTGTGACAAACACACACAGAGTGAAGCTTTTGTTTGCTTAAAGCTACAATCCAGACCTTCAGCTCAAACACACAGAGCCATTTGGGTGGGAAAAGACCTCTGAGATCATCGGGTAAAACCTGTGACCCGTTACCACCTTGTCAACCAGACCAGAGCACTGAGTTGTTCCCTGGACACCTCCAGGGATGGTGACTCCACCACCTCCAGGTGGTGTTTTAGGTGTCAGGAGCTGTCCCTGGCCACCACCACGATCCCACCACACTGCTCAGGCAGCAGTAAACACACCACGCTCCTCCCCGCCCAGCTCATGACTTACTTCCCCAAAACAAAACACCACCACCACGACTTCCTGACGCTCCTCTTACGCTGTTAAGGAATTCTCTCATAGATTCCCCACAAAGCAACACTTCCTCACGGCTGTTTCCCACCCCGAACAGCACTAAGGCTTTGGCGGTCTCTCACCTTCTTCAGGGGGACCTTGAAGGCGATGAAGCGAGTGCCTGGCATCCTCCTGCCCAGCGGGATGTAGTCGGTCCACCTAAACCCACAGCACAGCGTTAAACCAAGGCACAGACGCAGGACCCTCCCCATGCCCGCGGTGCCTCACCCCGCGCCCCCTCAGCTCCAAACGGCTCACGGCGGGGGCTGCACTCACCGCTCGGGGACGCCAGAGCCGCT